GGGGGGGGGGTGAATGTGGGGAACGCAGGGGTTAAACTTGGTGAACAGGAGCCTTCTTTATCTCCCATGCTCCTTCTCATGTTTACCTGATCGCTTGGATCAAGATAGTCTCACACAGTCATTTAGCAACAAGGAATTTCACAGTTTCATTCTTAAGACATGCAGGAAATGCAGAAATAGCCATGACCGCGGTACAGGGCTCTCTTCAGAAGTCAACACGCAGTCAGTATTGCATTTTATTTTGGTTAATCCCTTCTTTGGAAATAGTAAGGCTGGGTGACATGACAGGAATTACTGTTAGATGATGTCTATCGTTTTGCTACACCCTTCACACCTTTGTTTTCTAGCTAACCTGGGAGTAGGCCATCACGGGCAATCATGAAAATGGCAGATGATTATATTCAAATCCAAGCGATGAAGCACTTTGATGCTGTGTTGGCTAAAAGAAGTCCTTCATGTTCCACAGGATTTACACCCTCAGGATTTCAACCCTGGTACACAGATATACCTACAATGTGAAGAAACATCATATTTTAGAGTAGTAAAAAGAGCTCAGCTGAAGAGGCTGAACCTACTCTTCTCTGGTAATATGCCAATAAAAAATCTGTAGATTTGGATGAAATCAGCCGGAGTTAGATGTAGGGATGAAAACAAGAAGGCTTAAGTGAAACCTCATGATTCATCTTTTTATATCAACGGCGCATGACATTCTCCGAACCAGTTATTCACAATGACATGCTGTTACTTTAACAGTATAATAATGAATGGCCATGGCTAACACAATAACCAACTTGAGAAAAGGCGAGTCATTTCGATCAGGCATAGGTGTGGAGCTGGCCTCGGGTAATTACTGACAGTCCTGGAACGAGGGAAGGATGAAGAGGATGAAAATGAGATATGAGCCATCCCTCCTCTTCATATTCCTCTCTTTTTTCCCCAGTGAGTCAGAGAGGGAAGGCTCTGAGCTTTGCGGAAAGATAAGAGCTTAATTAAAGTCAAGAGTGACTATTTGAAAAGCACCGGAAAGGACTGTGACTATTGCGCTTCCATCAAAATGTAAAATACCTGAGGGACAGAACTAAACACAAGGCCATTTTCTAATTAAAACATTCTATGAATTCCATTATGTAATCCCATTCAGAAAATAAGAACATCACAACGACCCTGCCATGGCTTCGTAATCAGGACCCTGTTTCTTCCTGTGAGTAGATGAATGGAGTGAGACATCTCAGTAAAAGAGCATCTCCTTTACACCAGCTTCACATTTTTAGACATTTTGCTCTCAACTCTTAACATATCTATGTGTATACTAAGTTTACCTCAATAAGAAATAAACCTTCTCTTTATTTGCAAAAAGTAATTTTGGTGGTCTTAATGTATTTCTCTGACTGTGACTAGCACCTGGGATGTTTGGTCAAGGTCCTGACAAGCTACCCACCAGATGTTAACCAGAGGTGTCAGGACCAATCAGATCCTTGTTTGTATTCTCCAAAGCCTGCCTGCTGGCTGGAGTATGGTGCTGATATGAATAAAAGCAAAACCTGCATCATTGTTCTTTACAAACTCTAGTTACACCTCACATTGCTACCACGTTGGGGTTAAAGAAAGACCCTTAATGTGGTCATAAGGAAGGTATATGTAGGTCATTTCCACCTGCATTTCATTTTACACAAAAATATACTGGAATAAATTAGAGAGACTCAAATAAGAAGGGGCTATTGCCTTCCTTTTCCTTCTATTTCCGCAGATAGTTGGCTAATGTGTAAACAAGTTTCCCTGATTACAAACTTGTGCTTAATCTCCAACTGGAATTGGATCGTACCGTCAACTGTTTGTATACAGTCAATGATTAGCCTGGAGTGAAGCCCCCCCCGCGCTCTCCTAGCCATCAGGAATGTTCTCCTGTCTCTCTGTCACCTTGGGGGACCTGGTCGAGTGAGGGCATGGGAGTTAGTTCATGGTCATAAAGACTTGTTATGCAACTCAACATGTGTGACCGATGTCTTGACATACAGACTGGAGGAAGATGAGAAGGGACGCTTCATTCCATACACTGTTCTGTTAGTGTGGGCACCGCATGAATACATGTGTGTGGTGAGCTCCCACTGAATGCTCTCCCTGTCCCGCATCGTGCTCCCATCTCACATAACAGCACCCAGTGTCCTCCTGGAGCCAGACGTACTGAGGGCCCCTATGCCTGCATTCCGACCCCCAGCTGAGATGCTTTTCCCCGGGGCCGCTCACAGCGTGTACAACCCCTATGCCCTCACATGGATCAAGCTATGAGAGGTATGTGGTGTGTTAAACCCCCCACCCCCACCCCCAGACACTTCAGACATCAGCTTCAACCTGAACCACAATGTGTCTCCTCTTTGCTCAGACACACATATGTATAAACACACAGGATAGAGGGTAAAAGAAAACATAGCGATGTTAATCATACATTTAGGGGCGTAACCAGCAAGGTCAAAGGTGCTGTAGAATAATGACACTGAGTAGAGGTCATCACAGTGACGCACATACTCTGCATACCTACAATCTGATCATTTGAACAGAGATTTTAATTGGTTGGAGCAGATAGGTAGGTCATGCTACAGCGAAGGCCGGGGTTCACGGTGGACCGGGTCACGCTACAGGTCACACACACACACAATGTTGATGACACTCAAATGATAACTGTGTCTATCTAATTGGTCAGGTAAACTGAAAAAAAAACACATGTGCAGTTTGTTTGACTTAATGCTGTCTGTAAACTGCATCGTTCCTTTGGCAATTAAAACCAAGAGAGAACAGACATTGTTTTAGTTGTTGCCAAAGTATTTCCTAAACAAATAAGCCCTGTAGCTAACGAGTACAAGGTGCTATGTATTGACTGAATTGCTTCGTCTGTCTTTGTGTGGTCTGGAGGAATGACTGGCACACCCAGAAACCAAACACCGGCAGTACAGGACAGTAATCCCTAAATGATTGTGTGTTTTTGCTCGGGGGCAGTGAATGACTAAGGAGGAAGGTACCACTTTCAATTCAAGAGAACAGGGTCTTTGGCAGCCTATTAGTCAGTGGGTGACATGAGCTTTACATGTGAATTGACCGAAGAGAGGAGGTGAAAGTGCTCGAATGGCAGCGTAGGATTAAGTGAAGTTTTGCTGTGTGTGTGTGTGTGTGTGTGTGTGTGTGTGTGTGTGTGTGTGTGTGTGTGTGTGTGTGTGTGTGTGTGTGTGTGTGTGTGTGTGTGTGTGTGTGTGTGTGTGTGTGTGTGTACTTACTACAGGCGCTGCAGGTGAAGCAGCTGTCATGGTAGAGGCTGCCCATAGCTTGGCAGGCCTGGCTGGCTCCATACACCGTCTTGTTGCACTTAACACACACTCCTGGAACCAAACACAGCGTATGATAGAGTCAGAAAAAGTCACAGGCAAACAGACATCAATGTCATGTTTAAATTGATACACACAGAAACAACCCATCAATCCACAGTGACTAAAATACTTATTCAGAATGATATATCATTTATAGTCTTAGTTCATTCCATCAATACAGAATGAGTTTTAAAGGCTATGGTCCAGATGAATGCAGACAAAAGCAATTGAGGCACAGAAAAAAAATCCTTTCACAAAAGTCAGGAAGCTGGGTAGTGGCTGCTTCACTGAAAGGGGAAATATAACAAGATTTGCTTATTTGACTTGGCTCAGCGACTGAGAAGTGTGTAATTATTTAAAGACTGATAAAAATCACAATGTTCACACACAGTCAATATGGCTTCATATCAAAATACTGGAGTCTTCTCAATATTCATCCATCCGCTCATCCAGACTCATGAGTGGATGGATGAGGATGAGAAGTATGTGTAGAGAACAATGTTTAAAAAAAGACATTGATAACAGCCCAAAATACAGCAGAATACCAAACCTTTAAAAAAAGCAAATCACATAAGAGCATGCCAGGCACATTATATAATCTCTGCTTTGACTTTGGACAGCTCATGGACAACACAGGGCTTCCATGTGATTAATGTTTTTTTATTATCTGCAGCTGCTTATGCAACATAACACTATATTTCTCTGAGAACTGACATTGTGACGTTATCTGTCTTCGCACCACTTCCTCGCCAATTTCCATCTTTCCCTCTGAGCAAGCACTGTATGACATATATGAAAACCGACATGTGGACTGAGACAAGTCCCAACTCCTATCATTGCTGAGTGTAATGGGTATTCAACTGGCTGCTAAATCAATCGGATATGGATATGAACTACCAATATAAAGTAATAGAAGGGGCGATGGCATCAGAGGGAGATAAAATCAAGATCACAAGCTTCTCTTTTAGTGTGAAGATGTTTGTGCATGAGGCTATTTGTGTGTGAGTGTGTGTTTTTATAGAAAAACTCCCTGGAGACTGAGAAGTAGAGCGCAGCAGAGGACCGTGGCCCTGCCCAGGTCCTGCTCGAAACACTGACAAAGAAACTTCTGTTCCCACTGTATCCAACACACATCACGCGGCTGCCTCCTCCAAAAACACACTGTTACATTTATTACCTTCAAAATGTTTCTTATAGACTTTCAGTAATGCAATATACAACCGGGTTATATATAATTCAACTAAAGCCTCTCCTAATGCCACAACGGAGGACACATCATCGGGGGGGGCTCCAATGGCTGGAAAGAAGATTTAGAGATAATAGAGGGATATTATTAGAAAGCAGAAGAATGTTACTCTTATGTAAGCTATTTTTGTTTACATAAAAACGCAATAAAGTAGTCATGCCCTCAAATTACTGACATGAAAAAGTGAAGGTTCTTTTCATCAAATTCTGCTTTTCTTCTGTAAATGTTTACTTCAAAAAGTTCACGACAGCAGGAATAAGATTCCCAGGAAAATGTGCCGTGATTTTTCCGGACTTTTCCGTGATTACACACTGGGCCAAGGGCATTTTCTTCCTCTTGTTTTTTATTGGCTCACATTTCTTTTTGCCAAATGTGAACAAAAAGCATTAAAAGTCCATTCTCTTTTTTCTTTCCGTGTTTGGGAGCAGAAACGTCTAGTTTTCATAGTAACCTCTTTGCCATTTGGGCCGCTACAATTCTGCTTTTGGCTTCAGTCCCATATTCCATCACAGTCCAAATATTCAGGGGACTGACTGCTTGCTTTAAGTTGGGGGAGGGGCAGCAAAACAAGCAGCCAAACCTTCACCCCTCCGATCCCCCTTCACCTTTACCATTTGTCAAAACTCCAAGTAGATGCTTTTGCTGGACAATATGCCACATATAACAGCTATCCAGAGTTTTCAATTCAACCGTTAGCCAGAGTTGACTAATTCATAACATGGTAAAAAAAAAAAAACTGTCCACTATAGCAGTGGATCCAGAGCTTTTTTGTTTGATCATATAAGATAAGCACATCTCCTTTAACAAACTTTTAATTTTGAGATAGTTAACAATTTTTGATCAATTAAACATGCACACTACGACATTTGTCTTAACTTATTTTTAAGGTGTATTATAATTATTCTCCTTTTCTCTTCTACTATACAGATAATGAAAAGTCGTCTTGTCATGTTGTAGGCTAGCCTTGCAATTTTGTATCTTTAAACTAATATCTCAAATGCAATGCTCCCTTTGTGAGCTGACTAAATTCCATCTATAACACATCCACCATAAGTCACCAAAGGCATCGTTTTCCTTTACCACGGCACAGACACCACACCCAGAAGTGACAAAGAATTACTTTTAAATTCAGTCAAATACAGCAGGCCATTTATTCAGACAAACAAACACACTTATGTGCTTGAAAATATATCTCTCACACACACACACACACACACACACACACACACACACACACACACACACACACACACACACACACACACACACACACACACACACACACACACACACACACACACACACACACACACACATAAAAGTCAGCCTCAAAAGCCTGCCAGAGCACGAGCCAAGAATCCCTCGGAAGAGTTAAGGTGAAGCTTTTCCACTCAGCAGCCAGATGGGATAAATGAATCCACCATCTTTCTTAACACAACACTAAATGCTCAAATTAATGTGCGTGTGTATGTGTGTGAGAGAGAGGAGGAAGTCAAAGAAAGAGTGGAGGTAGAATAATGGGATGTCCCACCACTACTCCCCTCATGGATGAACTTGTCTATAAATCTCACATCCTCTCAAGCTCTTGTGGCAAAGGACAAAGAAGCATCCACGAACTTGTCCTTAAATCTCTCCGTTTGTCTACACATCCATTGAACTGCACCGCAGGCTCCACTCAACTGGTCTGGGACTCCCCTCCCCATTGTATCTTAAGACCCTCATTTCTAAGATTCCATGCTCTCTTCCTTCAGACATTCCTCAGCGTTCCCCTGGTGCAGCCGTTTGGCACTGGACTCATTTTCCCAGAACCTCCAGCTGCAATTTTGCCAATTAGGACACGGTGTACAGCCGGGAACTCGGACGCATCCCCGCACACCTGATTGGGTAAACATCGCTATGGCACTGGCAGTCATAAAGCACATTATATTCAATCATGTCAGGCTCATAGATAGCTTAGCATTAACCTAACAGTATCAAACCGAGTGGGATCAGCAAAAATAACAATGTACTTTACATAATTCTATACTGACTATGATTCTTATTTGATGCAACTTAACTGTTGTCGAGAAAACAAGCTTACACACGTTTTTTTCTGGCATTAAAGCATGACTCAGAGGATGAGCCATGGTCTATTGAAAACTCTGAGCAGGAAGCGTGTGTGGGCTTACACTGCATTACTTTAAAACCTACACCTCTGCTGATTGCGCCCTGTGCTCTCCCACACACCCATACTATTCTCTTGGCTATGCTATTTGTGAGCCTTGACAGTGACAGTGACAGCGACGTGTCCCAGAACATGAACTTGAGCACACCAGGGGTCTGAGTGAGTAAGGCTGTGAAAAACAATTGTGATATTCTAGCAGGAAATTGCTTTCAACAGAAAGGAAAAAGGGTGGGCAATGTTTGTGTGTTTAAATAGGTTCTCTATGGCTTGGTCCAGATCATCACCTATAGCGGGAAATCACCTTTTTTATGACTGGCCTTGGCTACAAACACCTGGTAGCCATATGAGTAGCAAACACCTGCCAAGCAACATACATATTTTGCCTATTTACTTTATCTACAATAGCCCTTGTCAGCTGACTTCACAGCAATGTTGCATTCATTTCCTGATGTCTCTCCTACAGTCCAGATAGAGCAGCTAAAGTGCCACAGGCAGGGTCCAGGGATATGAGGAATTGAAACTAAAGTATTCTGCTGATGTTAAAAATTCCTCAACATCCCTTCCTACCCCTGTTTCTCAGCCAGTGTCCTTGACTATAGATTATATTCATAGTTGCAAGACTCAACAAGTAAGAAATGACTGCTAAGATAAATATGTGTTGAATTAATTAAACAAAAAAACATGGTTTATTTTTCCTCATGTGTGCAAGAAATAACCGTCACAGGTGTTGTTATGGATTATTACTATCCCTGTGTTCATATTTTGCACAAGCATGCACAAAAAAAGAGTCACGAAAAATGTCCAGATCTGTGGTAATGAAATAATTTGCCAACATGGGACGGAACATTAAACTATCAGACTTGTTGCAGTGCAGGACTGACATCAAGCTCTGACTAATGACCCTTGTCATGAATGTTGCTTCAATAGAAAACCATCAAATCTCTGGGAGGAGATAACAGGGCAACATTATTTTTACTGGCCTTGGCCCCACCTTCTACTGCCAAAGGGTTTGATTCAGTGCCAAGAGGGCAGACAATGAATCATTTAAAAAAGACATGAAACAAATTTGAAAATTATTCTGTCTGCATTCCACAGAAGAAAACAAGAGAGAGGCCTCTTACAGTGTCTGCCCAATAAATCAGCTATTTTATCAACAAAGACTATCAAGAATCCCACTAAACACAGACTGAAAACAAATCCTGATTAAGCCACAGACACGCACTAACACAGAGGATACATTTGCGTAGCTGTGTGTAGTGGAAACAAAGAAGAAGTATTACAAAGGGTGACAGTGTGTGCATGTTTAGACATGAAATACAAAAACAAGTGGATTTATGTTCTGTAATGAGGGTGGGTTCAATGCATTTTACAGCAATGGCATAACTGACAGAAGCCACTTGTTGTATCTGGATAGTAGATGCTTAACTGTCTTACCAAAGTAGTCATCCTTTGGTAGGGCATCCATCTCTTTTTCCAGCCGATTGGTGAGGGCTTCTAATTTGATTTCAGCTGCAGAAGGCCCCTGTTCAGGGGGCTGAGTGAGATGGGACTGGCAGGGTGGTTGGACAGGCTTGGTGAGACAGGGGACTTCAGCACCGACGGCATGTCCACATACAGGTTTTTGGCTCTGACCTTGACCCTGGCTACAGCTTTTGGACACATTGCCAGGGATCAAGGCAGCAGATGCCACCTGTGATTTGGGTAAAGATGTTTCAAAAGGTGCAGGTATGAGCGAGGAAGCTGACAAAGAACCATTATGGCCGGTTGAGGGTCTTGAAGTTGGAGAAGATGGTGCGTAATGGGCAGCAGAATGTGTGGAGGGCTTCTGCAAGTCAGCTCCTGCAGTGAAGGCACTCAGAGCCAGGCCTGGGATGAGGTCAGGTTTGGCTAAGGCAGAGGGCTCAACAACCCATCCCCTGGCAGGACCAGCAGATGAGGGGGGGCTCAGGGGTCCAGACGGGGTGACAGCCTGTTTCTGCTGAGGTGGAAGACTGTTGGCGGAGGGAGGTGCAGAATGGGGCTGCTGCTGAGATGTGCTGTTGCCCCCAATCCCAGACAGGGTGAGCTGGCTCTCTGCGGACGGGGCCCAGGCAGCCGGCTGGCTGGCCGGGTGACGAGCTTGTGTGGGCGCGCTGTGAGACGCGTTTCCTGGGATAGGGGGAGTAGGGATGTTCTGCTGGTATGAATGTGGCTCTAAGCGCTCCTTATTGTCGTAATTATTTCCGTAGCCATACCGGCCGTCAAACTGTGCGTACGGAGTCCCAGCCGTGGAGCCCGGCACGGGGCCAGAGAGGATCGGGGGCTTCGCCGCCGCTTCACACGGCTGTCTGTAACTGTTGATGGGCGGTCTGTCTTTGGTGTAATATGTGCTGTTGTGGCCCCCATTCATTCTAATGGCCTGGTTGTTTTTTGCCATCTCCTCTTGCTGTTTCTGCATGTGTATTTTACTCATTTTAGTGGCAAAAACCTTTCGTGTCTCCTCAAAGTCTGGGTTATTTCCTGCGTCTCTTCTCATGCGAAATAAACCATCCCTGGATGCTTCATACATGTTCAAGTCCTCGATAAACTTACTCGCCTCGAGTCCAAAATCCTCGTATTTATCCATTTTGAAGATACTTTGTGTCCCAGTCAATGAAGTGAAGTAACACGTAGTTGTGTTTAGAGGCGAACGCAAAGTTAAGTCACAAGTGAAAAGAGTGATATTTCCAGGAGCTTACAGTCCAGCCACTCGTTGTTCTGACATGAGACGAGGGTCCGGACCCAGCGGGAAACTTGTGTCAAACTTTAATGTCCTTTTTTGTAAACGTCCGGCGTGAATAACTCAGCGTACTCCTCGGTGAAACTTGTCCGCCCGTCCAGCTCTGCTCTGCCGCGAACAAGCTGCCGTCTGTCTGCTTATAAATGTGAGCAGATCCCAGATCCGATAGCCTGGACGACCCTTGCCCCCTCCCCTCCTCCCGCTTCACAGTCCCAGTAGGGAGCCTTCATTCACAACTTTACCCTCCGCACCTCTGTCAAAAAGTGTTTTAAAGTAGTTCAAATATATAATATGTCGTTAAAGTCGACGATAAAAGTAGTACTGTTAACGACCAGACCGTGGGATCACCGTTGAAGCACGGAGCCGTACGTGGCCACCGGTCTGAAAACAGAGAACCGTCTGTTTTTAAAGGGGCAGAGCTCAAATTGAGCCACAAGGAGTTGAAGTCCAGCTCTGGTTTCATTAATCATACAATGAGTAACGTTAGCTAAAATACAACTACATGTCTTATAACAGCATAATCCCCTCCAATACATCCGTTTTATTAATAGAAATATAAAGAGTCATTCTTCTTTTTGACTCAGCAAAACACTTTTTTTCTTGGGTAGAATCTTATTCAGCTTATATTTATGAGGTATCCTACTAAACATACAAATTTGGTATTTTCGAAGTGTTTCCATTTCATGCAAAACTGAAATATGTACTTTTTTACTTCATATGTTTGACAGCTACATTTTCTACTTTATTGAGATTTTAGCCTACAACACTAACATAAGGTTCCACCTAACAATTCCACTAACAAAACTACCAAATAAGATCTGATTGGTCTATTTGTGCCATGTATTTTAGTATAGGGATCTTGATACTTCCCCAACCATGGTTTATGGGTTTTGTTTACTTTTAGAGGAAAAATAAAGTGGGGAATAGGGAATGGAATTATTTTAGGATACATCCAGGAAGGCCTGTGGCACTTTTCATAATTGTTGAACATTTCCAGCATCTCATAAACAATCTATGTAGTGGAGTAAACCCATAAAGCTACTGTGACCATTCTCTGGGTGTGTTTTTCTTGTGGTTGAGGGGGCCTATTTACAGAGCTTGTGCCCCTCTGTTTTGGTTGAGTGACGTCACGCATTCCTGCTCATGAAATACATCTCTCCATTTGAAACAGCGGTGTTGTAAAATAGGATGAACTCATAATGTGTATGGAGAAAAAAAGACTTAGTTTGACAGCAAATATAGGATACAAACATAGGACACGTTTAACTGTGTCCACTCCTGAATGAAGACTGAGTGTGCTAACTGTCCCACAGCCCAAGTTGATGTGAAAAAAATATGGAGCCAGTATTTTTAAGGGGGCCTCTAGGCTGCTGCTGGCTGTGTCATTAAAACAGAAGGTTTATAAGCCACTGCCATCTGTATGTTTCTGAAACAGTCACCATAATGCAGCATTCCTTCAAGCTATTGGCTTAACCTGCTTCACATCTTTATCACACAAATTCATGAAAAACACCGTAGTTCATTATTGTGTTAATTAAACCACACAAACGAGGTCTTGTTCAAATGCATAGTATTTTTATTTTGATTTATTTTGTATTGTTTACATAGATCGGTATACATATTGGAATTAACGGAGCAGAAGCAAAAAAGTTGTGGTAAAGTGGCATTTACTTAAACCCTAAAACACATATTTCAGAAATCTCGAGGCATCCACCTCATTTCTAATGTGTATGACTTCAAGATATGTTTGAGCAAGTATCATAAAGTAGATTTGGTAACATTTATATTAGGATACACAAATTCACCATCAACTAGTTGTTAATGTCATGCATATTAGCAGTATATTGGCGCTTTATTATAGGCATTATACAGCCATGCTATTCAGTTCACTTTCTCCTACTTCCTGTACCCGGTTTCCTGTCTAACCTTCAGTACAAATGTCACAAAAATATAAATGTGCAAATATGAAACATACAGGTCAACTGTCAATACCCCAAAACATATTCTTCGATATAAATACCTAATTTTGAGTTATTTAAACACAATTAACACTTAGTTAACAGTTTCATGTCTTGTTCCATAAGAATAAATCATATTTGTTAAGTGTTATTATGGGAGAATTACTATTCTTGTGGTACTACTGCTTTATTAGGCCCATATTGAGCAGCGCATATTAAGACCAAAACTCATGTACAACACCTTCCTTACTTGCAATAAATAAGCACTAATTGGAGGGTTATTGAGGAAAAACTCTCAACTAATGGCCTATTGTAGAACATGGTCTTGTAGAATAAGACATTAATAATTGTTTTATAATGACTACTAAACAGCCAATATACTGCTAATATGCATGTTAATTAACAATTAGTTGATGGCGAATTTGTGTACCGTAATATAAAGTGTTACCTTATTTATTTTAATTAGCTTAATTATACGTGTCTTCATTTACCAGGACTTTATGTTATCCCTAATAATTTAGTCCCAGGTGTGATCACATTATGTTTTAGGACTGTTAATGTTTTGTTGACACAAAAGAAAACGCAAATGAATCACATTACAGATTGACCCACATTTGTTTCATACTCCTTAGCTTCTTAACAGTGATGCTTCAATGCAAAATGTGTCCTTTGATTTGAGGACCTATTTCTGACTCATTTTGGGAACGTTATGTTGAGTGATTAGGAACATTTTGCTAATTAAAGCTGCTTCTTTACTTTTACTTAAACCTACATTTGGTTTATTGATGCTATGGTCACTTAAAAGAAAGTAAAACAACCTGCAAACACAACATTGACAAATCACCACTGTAATATTTTAGCGAGCATTGGCTTACTTACAGTTCCAGCCGTCACTGAGCGACATTAGCTTTACTTTGGTATCATGTTTCTGTCCTCCTGATGAATGTAAGTCCAATATCAGCGCTGATTCTGGTTCCCACCAACTCCTTAGGGAAACATATGTCTCCTTAGCTGCTGTTTGGCGCGGGGGAAGGAGGTGTACAGTAGATTTATAAGACATTTAGCTGGTGAACTGAGCTGCCTGCTTTTGCTGTAAATGCAAATGCTGGGAGCTTGGGCCACATAGTTATGTTGCTGTGAGGGGAAAAAAAGCAATGAGCTGAATGAAGCTAAAACACTCTGTAGGGCAGAGTGATAATTCTCTGTGGATGTGTGACTCCGACCAACAATTGTCATTATAGCCATTGGCTGTGTTAGAATTATGATTGGTTCAGCTTTAAAGGTCCCCTATTATACTGTTTTCCATCAATATGTTATAGGCCTCAGATATATATTTGGTTCGAAATACCAATGGGGATTATGGGATTGTAGCATCCCATAATCCCCTCTGTTTCAGCCCTGTTTCCAAAGTGCTGATTCTCTGTCTGTTACTTTAGATGAAAATAAGGAGCCACTCTCCACGCCCCTCCGATGCCCCTTTCACACCAACGCGTTTTCAGCGCCGGCTCGGAGCTAGAGCCTGAAAAGTACCGGTTTTTCCTGTTCACACCGCATCGGCGCCGCCTCTTAGCTCCGGAATCCGGTTCACTTCCAGCTCCAAAATATTGTCGGGTCTGAAGTCAAGAGCTTCGGAGCTAAGAGACGACGTCACTTACCTCTCTCTTACGTCGAGGCGTGCAGGAAACTAAACCCACCTCCCCCTGAACATGGGTCGACTGAAGAGTCTCGTCATGCCTGCCTACAAGCAGTCGCGCTGAGCAAAGTGACTAGAAGGCAACCACACATTTATAAAAAGAAACACACTTTATAAAGTCAGGCAACACTAACCAGGCTTCGTGTGGTTCTGTTTATTTGCACCTTACTTTGACCATCCGTTCGCTGTTATTGATCATTGTGGAGAGAGGCAGACGTTTTGTTTTGTATTATAGCAGCTATCGGATGGAATCAATACATGAGCTGCACAGGTTGAAAAGCATAAGGTTGGAGAAGTCGTTATTTAATTTAATCTGGCTTTGCTTTAAAAGCAACACGATCATCGACCAGATGCAGTCCCCCGTTGTTGTTGTTGTGAGCGCCGTTGGGGAGCAAATCAGCGATGTAAACGGTGACGTCATGAATTAGTATTCTTTGCAACTATTTTTCGTCATTTCTGATTGCTCTTCCTCCATACTCTTTGATTCTTTCCAACCAAACTTTTCGGAATATTCGGTGCCTTACATGACCTAAACAGGTACACCGTCACTCTTACAGTCGTAAAAAGGTTTGTAGTCGTTTAAGGGAAGGACGAGGGTATCGTACACTTATGAGTGAAGGTCGTTGAGCTGTCCGGAGCCTTTAAAGGAAGTAGTACAGGACAAGGTGGAGGTAGTCAGAGAAGGAGAGAGAGAGTAATTTTCATTGAGTGTGGAGTCGTACAACCTTATTTTGTATTTAAGTACACGAGCTACTAACCGAGAGTTGTATTGTGTGTGTGTGTGTGTGGGTGTGTGTGTGTGTGTGTGTGTGTGTTGTGTGTGTGTGGTGTGGTTTGAGCACGGATGTTGTAGGAGTTTCAAACTCCGGTAAGTAAGGGTCCCTTCTTGAGTTCCAACGACAAAAAGAGAGCCTACAGTCAGAAAAAGGTCAAGTTTTGTTAGTCAAGGTTTGTTACCAACTCCTAACGTGCTCCCTCTGGCAAGCAGAAACCACCACGGTCTTGATTTAGTTATACGGCTATGTTTTAGTTTCTCGTCCGTATTTAACCTATTACTCGTCCTCTATTTTTTCCCTAGATCAGGAACGAAGAACAAAACTTCACCCTTATATTATCTCCACATTTTTTTTATTTATTTTCGTCTTATTTTCTTCTCTTGTCCTCAAACTCCAAGACGCGAGCACAAAAATACATTGCTAGAAACGGTGTCGCCCGTCACGGAATCGAGCATCGTAACGACCTCGTACATCACATTAGTTATCGTATAGTCGGGTCTCTCGTTTAGTTACCTCCTGACGTGACATTATCTTTTGCGTGCCCAGTTCCCTCTTCGTCGCTCTATCTCTCGTTGTGTTTTCTACACTCATCCGGTACTCTCTGCTCCCTTTTATCCACCCTTATACACTTTTCCTCATAAAACTCCTATTCTTTACATAGACTTCGGCCCGCCTTATCTCTCTTATGCTCACCTTAACCCACAAAACTCCTATACTTTTGTCAGCTTTTTTTTTTCTCCCAATAGTTGCATCCTTGTAAAAACGTATTAACACGAAGTACCACTGAACAAATTGGGGAACACTCCGAATTTTCTTCGTTATGAGTTTGAGTTGGTGGACAAAGTTTGACCGTAAAAAATATTTTGACATGGGACAACAGGAAAACACAGGATATCAGGTAAAGGACAAAAACAGACCAGAATGGGGTCGACTATGAAGTGATTTAGTGTTAGGTG